AGAAGCTTCTGCGGAGATTTTTTTATTTTATTTTTTTCCTTGAAAAGATAACAAAAAAAAAAAAAAAAATTTTTTTAAAGGATTTTCCGAGTCAAAATTATTAAAGAAAATATTTTTTCAATTTTTTTTTTTTTATCGTAAAAAAATCATCGAAGAAAAAAAAAATAAGGAAAAAGAAAACCAAAAAATTTTTTTGTACAAAGAGATAATTCAAAGAAATAATCTCTAAAAAATACTTATTCGATTGTCTGGACCAATTTAAAAAAAATTTTCTTTTTTTTTTTTTTTTTTTTTTTTTTTTTACTTTACTACGCATGATCCGTAAATTTTTTCATTATTTTTTTTTTCGAATTTAAATTCGAGGACGACAAATAAAATAAAAAAGTATGGCGGATGAGAAATAAAAATATTTTTGTTTTTTTTTTTTTTTTTGCTTTTTTCGAAGAAGAAAAGAGTAAGAGAGGGAAGGGGTAGAAAACAAAGCTGTGGAAAAGATGTAAAAAGAGAAAGAGGGGGAAGGGAGAGAGGGAAGGGAAGGGGAGGGGAGAGGCAAAAAAACAAAAAAAAAACAACGAAATTTTTCCACGTTAAAAAAAACTTTTTTTTTTTTCATCGTGTCTTTTTTCATAAAAAAAAATTTCTCGAATTCAAACGGTAAATATTTTTGTAAGGGTTAAAAACAAAAACCCCATAGAGTGTATAAAAAAAAAATGGCCACCGTGTAAAAGGATTTTTTAAAAAAATTTAATTTTTTTTTTTTTACGTCAAAATTAATATCGGGAAAAAAACAAAAAAATTTTTTTTTTTTTATTTATTTTCCAGGTAGGAAAAATTTTAAATGTGCTTAAGTTAAAAAAAAAAAAAAAAATTGCGCGACGAAAAATTTATTTAATAGGTTTTAATTTTTTTTGTTCTCCCCTCTCCCCTTTTCCCTTCCCTTTTATAAAAAACCCCTTCGTAAAATTTTTATTGTTTTATATAAATAAATAAATTTAGACGTTCCCTACCATTCATCCTTATTATTATTATTATTAATTTATTTTCGGGTAGCTCTTGGAATTAATAAAGGTTTTTTTTTTTTTTAAATTACATTATGTAAATAAATTTTTTTTTCTGTAGATTATTAAAAAGTTTGAAAAACTGCGACAAAAAAACAAACAAACAACAACAAACAAAAAAAAAAAGTGAAAAAAAGAAAATTTTGTTTTTTTTCAGTATCCCTCTCCACCTTCCGCTTCCCTTTTCCTCCCGTTCTCCACCGCTTCCCCGCATTAATACATTTTTGTTTAGCCACGTAAAAAAAAAAAATGAAGGGATGGTAATAATAATAATAATAATAATAATAATAAAATAATAAAAAATAATGTTAGTAATTTTTTTTTTCTCGCTGGTTAAGCCTTTTTCGAAAAGTTTCGGGGTCGTGCGAGTGTGCGTGTGCGTGCGAGTGTGCGTGTGCGTGCGTGCGTGCTTGTGCGTGTGTGCGTGCGTGCGCGTGCGAATTTACAAAATAAATATATGAAATAATAAAAGAGCTGAAAGGGATTGTATAAAAGGGCAAAAAGATAAGGAAAAGTAAATGAAAGCACTCAGTTTTGATTTAAATTATTAGTTAACTAACGTTCAAGAAGCGGCGGTTAATATAATTTAATATATTTTCTCTCTCTGAATTCTTTATACATATATACTGCGTTTATCTCTCTCTCTCTCTCTTTCTTTCTCTATTACACCACTTTATATCTATACGTTTCGACTATCTGTCATCTTTCTCTTTTTTTTTTTTTATACATCGACCCCCCGTGTTTTCTTTTTGATTTTGCAAGTTTTAGTTTTTTTTTTCAAATTCTCTCTCTCTCTCTCTCTCTTTCTCTTTCTCTTTCTCCGTGTGTTTCATTCGATCTTGTTTTAGGTTACTTTTAATTTGAAAATGTATATATATATATATATTTAACACGTTGAATACTTTTTTTTTTTATATATATAAAAAAAATTTTCTCTTTCTCTTTGATTATATATATATATATATATATATATATATATATATATATATATATATATATATATATATATATATCATTAAAGCTTTTTTCAAAATTGAATGGTTTCCGACTGCGTATAGCTCTAGGCATAAAGTACAAAAAAAAAAGAAAAGCTTGACTTCCTCATTTTAGTTTTTTTTTTTTTTTAAATAAAAACAAAAAAAAAAAGTTAAATATGTTGTAATACAACAACAGCAACAACAGCAAAAAAAATCCTCTTTGTTTTTATTTTTTTATCAGTTTTTTTATTATTATTATTTAAAATTTTTTTTTTAATGTATTATTATGTAGCGAATGAGTGAGTGAGTGAGTGAGTGACACGTTTTTTCACTATCCTATCTCTCTCTCTCTCTCTCTCTCTCTCTCTCTCTCTCTTTCTCTCTCTCTCTTGTTTCCATTAACATTTCCTTTATATAATTATATATATATTGAAATTTTTTATTAAAAAAAAAAAAACTTATTAATAATAATAATAAATTCGCGAGGTTTTTATCAAACGTTTAAAAATACAAAAAATTTGTAAGGGGAAGGAGGGGAGGGGAGAGAAAAGGGCGGAAACATTTGACGACAGCTTTTTAAAAATAGAAAATATGTTTGTTTGTTTGTTTTGTTACAAAAATATGAACGTATATTCAAAAGAGGGTTATTAATCCATCATTTTTTATTTATCCACTTAAGAAAAAATTTTTATTTATTTAAAATAATATCTCACTCAGAAATATCAATAATTTTTTAATAATTTTCCGAGAAAAAACTACTGCACAAGCTCGTGAATAAAATAAATAAATAAATATTTATTCGAAGAGTTTATGTTGAAAAAAAAAAATGGCGGAGAAGGCGAAGGGAAAAACGTTAAATATAAAAAAATAACACAGGTAAAAAGCATTTCTTTTTACGTGTAAAGAGTATGAGAAATTGAATGTTTTAAAAAAAAAAAAAAATCGTCACCATTTTTTTGTGATTGTATAAAAAAACAACCGGTTGTATAAAAAAAAATCTTTATGAATTTTTTAATCAATTTCCGTACGTTTTACGTGAGAGCGTTAATGCGCATGCGCGTTAGAAATATATTTTTTTTGATATAAATAAATAAATAAACAAACCGTAAATTATGTAAACGTATAAAGTTAAATAAAATTCATTTAAATGGATTTGACATAAATTTTTTTTTTTATTATTATTATAAATGATTTTATTGATAAGCCTTATCAAATATTAACCGAGGGTTATTATTAATAAATTTTGTGTTTTGTACTACGCGTTATCACTACTGGTGATGTTAATGCGAAAGAATTTAGTTTGTTTCGCTTCGTTTAATTATTAATTTACGTTTGTTTATTTTATTTTATTTTATTTTAATTTTTTCCAACTAAAAAAAATTTTCTCTCTCGTTTTTTTAACAATGAAAACAACGTCGCGAGTTATTTAAACGTTTTACAAAATGTGATTATTATGCATTGTTTTGTTTCACAAAAGTTTGCGGTTTAATTCAAAACTAGATAAACTACTAACTACAACAAACGTTTTTAAACATTTCGACAAAAAAAAAATTTTAAACGCGTTTTTCAACTCTCCTCCTCCTTCTCCTCCTACTCCTCCTACTCATTATTAAAACGATCGTGTCGCGAAAAAAAAAAAAAAGTTTTGTATTTCTCCCCCCCTCTCTCTCTTTCTCTTTCTCTTCTCACCGAACCGAGATTTGTGTGTATTTTAAAATTCTGATAAAATAAAATAATTCGTGAGAAAAATTTTTATTTATAACAAAAAAACCAATAATAATAATAATAATAATAATAATAATAATAATAATAATAATAATAATAATAATAATAATAATAATAATAATAATAATAATAATAATAATAATAATAATAATAATAATAATAATAATAATAATAATAATAATAATAATAATAATAATAATAATAATAAT